GTTTATTATTTTGATACACCCGATAAAAGCTCTGCTTTTTTGTTTTGAAATTCGAAAGCCGGTGCGTTAATATGCATATCATATATATTACTTCGCGGTCAAAAAGTTATATTTCATTCGCTTTCTAAACTCGAAATATTGATTGCCTTGCTAAATGTTTGGTACCAAAATACTCGTCAAAAGCTTCTCTTTTCATTTCAGTAGTTGTTGCTTAGCTACACGCTGCGCCTGGTACACTAAAGGCCACAACTTGAGTGCATACTTCATGCTTTGCTTTATAAACAACACCCACGCGAATATTTAACATTCCGGATGTTTTGACAGGGCGTAAAAGGATAATTAGGAATTCTTGTGGATAAATGGAAAAGCTGCTGACCGACAGGTACGCTTGCACAATGTCCGTCATTTCTGGCCATGCCGTAGACCGTAAACTAGATCATATATATACCTGCATGTCCCAATGCAATAATTCTACTGTATTCTGTAATATATTAATTTTAACTGACTATAGAGATTGACTATTGGTTATAACAGGAACGCCGAGCCGCTTAAATATACGAATTCATGATATATGAATATAGGACTTACAAAATGATAGTGTCTCGGTTGTGGTGCTATTAGCCGGACAATAGTTTGGAGTAATGTTATACTTATATACTAGTGGTGGTTGTTATAAAGTCTGGGGATACCATCACTACCATGCAGGGACTGCTCTTCAAGTAGATCTGCTGCTATTCCTCAATTGCAGTGGACATGAATGCATGCATGAGCGGAAGCCGATATGTAACTTGAACATAATCCGAATTTTTTACTGACAACTAAGAAAATATCTTACCGATGTAAATGTCAAACGATGAAACATTAATTTAACCATTTAAAAAAAATACTACCGGCAAATATAGCTTGAGTGATAACTAAGTAACATCCAAAGACCTGATCATTAAAGATGGTAAATGTTATTCAATTCTCTGACAACAAGCACGAAAAGTGCAATGGGAACGCTCTCCATCGTAAATCTTGGCTGTGTGCACAAGGATTAGGACAATTAAGTCCATTAGTAGAGTTTCGAAGGAGAACCTTTTTTGAAATAGCTGTATATAAATATGCTAATAATATAAGTTTGCGTCAAATTTTCCAAATTTGGAGGCCTGCATGACCTAACGTCAGAGTACATTAGTCATTACGCTGTACAGAGTGTATCATAAAAAAGTAGACAATCAGTTTGAATTAGAAACGGCTCTCGATTTCACAAATCCGTTCATGTCATGAAATTTCTGATAAATATAGATTGTTTGGGTACTTTTAATGTAGAATACAAAATTTTTCAACAAAAGGTTTCGTAAAGATAAATTTTTAATGTTGCTATAAAAGACAACTCCTAGCTCTTCCTGCTCTGGAAAATTTAGCGTTATGAATTTTTTTGTTTATTCTGCGTTGCATAAGTACCCAAACAATCCATATTTATCCAAAATTTCATGACATGAACGGATTTGTGAAATTGAGAACCATTTCAAAATTGTATACTTTTTTTCTGATACACCCTGTAATCTTCACTCCTTCAGCAATTCCGCTGGCTTGCAATTAATAAGGCCCAAAGGCCGAGTCTAAAATGCGACAGAATCTAGATCAAAATTGCGTTATAATAGTTACAACTATTGCCGTAAATCCTCTATTAATTTGAATTTGTAAGATTTTGATGACATTACGTTATTTTATAGTTTGGCCACAGGGTACGTACGGTCTACCTAAGCCAGTGTCAGGATGTCCTGCCAACTGGCAAGATGGATGGATAAAACAGGACTTAGAAAACTCAAACCCAAGAAGCGAGTTTTCTGTTGATCTGAACTTACATATGGAAGCAACTTTAACAGGAGGTGATATAAGAAGAAGTTTTTGCATTAAAACGTCCACTGACACTACAAAATCATGGCCTGCAGGTAAATTGATACAATGTACAATTATGAGTTTGATTTTTCCTAAACTATATTAGTAGGGTTTAATTTAAAATACATCATCTAAAACACTGCTTTCTGCACCTGTATTTTTTAATTATTTTGCATACTGTCCATTGTCTATGCATTGCAGTATAATGCAGCAATATTATCCATTGCAGAATATTATCCATTGTGAAAGGCGTTCGGTATCACTTGATTTGATACATGCATAACACTTATCTTTTCCATTGTTATTGGAACAACTTTTTGACAAGGTTGAGAACTGCGCAATCAATAGACAGGATAGTTCTCTATGCTTTTGTTTTTTAATGAACAATTATTGTTGGTTTGTAATGCAATATTAAGTAATATATAAATCACATATTAACTTATTTTCCCGATTTTTCTGGAGGATTGTAATAACTTGAATAAGTCAGCACATTTTGTGATAAATTTGCCAAATATCAGTACTAGTATATAGCTAAGGTGACCTGCTTTCCGGAAGGGTGTATTGCCCCCCTTGCCCTACAGTCCCGTGCACCTATGGTGAAGCATGAGTAGTCGATCTGAATCCATCTTACAAGGCGAGCAGTAGTAAATCTGATACAGATCGGATGCGAGTGCTTTACACGTAAAATACAAACGCATCTGATAAATTAATATTTAAATATAATCTCTTTTGAATTTTCTTAATGAATTATTATTGATGAATATTTATATACCATGATCTCCCTGATAAGCGCCTCTCTCCCCCCGCGTGGCTTATTTTCCCACCAATTTTTTAATTAATGGGAGCATTATTTTGTTTATAAAGACAAATTGGTGTATAAATATTGGTGGCTTAATAGATGGGTGCTTAGTAGGGAGGAGACCTTAATAAATTTGTTAATTTAATATAATTAGAGAGGGGGCTTATTTGAAAAGGGGGGCTTAATATAGATTACGGTTACAATTTTACAGCGGTAATGTTAAACCTTACATATAGTGTTGCAATATCACGTGACGTTCCTAACTTACAATACTTTCAACCAACTGTTCTATTTTTATGCAATATACATTTTACTAATCCCTGAATTCAAACAAGGATTGAAGGACCGCACCTACATCTATAAGCCCAAAGATTGAGGTGTACATTCAAACATTAATGTTCTAGACGCAGATCTAGACGCATGTTCCGGCCTGAAAATGCGGAAAATAGCTTTTCAGGGTACTAGAAATAAAGTATACAACACAATATTGTCCTGGAATGCTGAAAAGGTGAAATGAGAAATTCTGGACGCACCAATTTGGCACCCTCATATGAATGTATAGCATACAAACTATACTTTTTATTACTTACTCTTCTTTTCCTATCACTTTCTTGTGAATGTGAATTTTTTACATGTATTCGATCTAACCAGAAGCAGTTGCAAAAAATGCAACGTTACTATTGGTCCTCTGGCAGGAATCGAACCTGCGGCCCTGTGATTCCAGGGCAGAGCTCTCACCAACTGAGCTGCAGAGGACAGTTGTTGGCTCTACAGCACGTTCATGTATATTTATACTAAGGTGATGCCAATGTAAGGTGTATGGGTAGATATCATGATTTCGACAGGTATTGTAAATGGAAATTTCGAGTGTGAATTTTATACATTTATTCAGACCTAACCATGTGGAGTAGTTGGTAAGCCCTCGGGCAGGTGTATAAAATCCACACTCGGATAACTGTAATATTCTATCTGTTTTCTTAGGGTCGTACTGTATCTATAAAAAGAACCAATGCCCCTCTGGTATGAATAGTGGCTCTATAAAATGGGATAATGAAGATGACACAAAGCGGAACAGTAAAGGTGGTACCCTACCTGATGGCACTTTTGGTGACGACACCATTATTGAATATTGTTGCCAGAATCAAGGACTTTGGAGCGACTCCATTGAGCTACCTTTGGATAAACCATTTT